TGAAAAGTGATAATCGTAATTGGTAGAAAGGAACAATAAAAAACAATCGCACAAAAAAACAAAAATGTTAACAAAAACAGTTATATAAAATATATTTTAATAATTTTTGCATTAAATTGTTGTCAATCCGTCAACATTACACAAAGGACCGTGTTTTTTACAGAATCTTTTCAATAGTTGGTTTAAGAGAAAAACATTGTTGAATTCAGTTCACCATATCAATGCCAATCCTTTCACCTAGAATACATAATAATAATATGCAAATTGGCAAACTTAATGCATCCGTCAGTTATACAGACAATCTGCATTTTCAACTACCAGTGGCACTTTTTGCACTCTTGGCCTTGGAGCTCTTTAAAGTGTCCGACATTTTGATTACTTAAAGCATTTATGTTCTGGATTTTACTGGGTTTAAGGAGGAATATAGCCGAAGAACGACAGGCCCGAAGTTATTAATTCTCCTAAGGCCCAGTGTGAATGGTATATCTAACTAATCCCCACACTGACTCTAATGGCCTAATGATCCAATTTTAGGAAAATTTGATTTCTTTTGTATTATCTATGAGGTAAGTGTGTTGAGAAGTGAGTGGGTGTAATTAGTTCGATCAACTTCAGTGCACTGCATGTAGCAGGCCATGTTTAGTTTAGAATTTTCTAGATTCTTACTATTCAACTACTAGGTGGGTGAAACGGGTTTAATTAGTTCAGCTTCAGTGCACTGTATGTGCCAGTCCAGGTGTAAACATTAGGCCAAAAACTACAAATCATATTTTGTGCCACGCTGGTTTTGGAGTTTGCCAAATGTCCATTCTTTATAACCAATAGAAAAAGAATGCACTCTACTTTGTTACAGCTGTATATTCTTTGAAATAAACTATAATTCATTCCATTTTGTTGTTATCAAAGTTGGGTTAATTTAGTTTAGACTTAAATAACCTTTTTTGTGGTTTCGATGTTTGGTAATGGTTATCCAGGGGTGATGACAAACATGGTGAACTGATACGGTTTCTTTGTACATATATTCTAGATACAGTAGTTTAATGGGATATTGAGGTATGTTATTGCCTTTTGTTCTCTCGCTAATTGCATTTTTTCTTTGTTTAGCCTGAGACGAACATAAATTATGTTAGTCTCAGGTTTATCTGATGAATAGTCAATACTTTTATAAGCTATATTCAGTTCATATAGAGCTTCTTTGGACAACAAATTGGTATTGCTGTTGATCAGGTATTGCTATTGAGGTATTTCAATCGAGTTGATTATGTCGTATGTATGATAAGTACCTTGCCATGAAGGGGAACTCGGCCTGTCGACGACCAGCTTATCATTTCAAACCTCAACAGGTATGGAATACAACAATTATGCACGGTCGGTCCCTTGGGATATTCCCTGTATCCAAAACCTTCCAGTGCATAATCCCTACATGTATATATTCCATCTAATGACCCTCTTATAGCAATGTATCGCAGTGGATCACGAATACTGATAAACAATGCATGGACATTAATGGACGTAAAAATATATGTTCTATTATAAATGGATGGCTGTTTTATAAAACTAGGTGTAATCAAATCTGTGTCGATTACATGTAGAATGGTAGTAACATATTTGATACATAATCAGGCAAAATACGTCTATGAACTGTATATTAGGAACAATTCCAGTGTACTGTGTAGCTTTCTTCGGTCGGATAATGTTGGGTCATATATGAACAAGAACCCCCCCCCCCCCCTCCCCCCCCCCCCCCCGACGTCAACTTGCGTGTATTGAAGAATAACAGGGACTTTTGTAAAATTCGTTATGGTGTTTATGTGCAACTTCCCTTCGGAAACCTTCGGACGGCTTCGGAAACACGCGCAAAGTTGGGGTTCGCATGTTTACAATCGTTGACAATTTACCCGATTTGCAAGGTTGTCTGTTGCATTTAGTGAATTCGTTCATTTGTGAGGAGGTATTTCTAGAACAGTCTATCAAGTAATTTTAATTTGAATCAATTGCATACCTCCAAGAAGTATATCACAATCGTCAAAAAATTAAAGAGGGGAACCGGATTTGAACACGGGTTCCAGGTTTGGTACACCTACCTTTCAAATATCCTCCTACCATTCTACATGTAATTGACAACTATTGAATGGTTGTCGAGGTGATGAAATTGCTGTAAGTATTGACCTACATATAGTTTATTTAGGTTGACTCTTTTAACAGTTTCTTTTTAAGTGATTCCATATCAATCTTTTAAAATGTGTGAAAACAATTTAAGAATGACCGGGAAGGACTCTTAAGGTTTTAGCTGTAGCAGGGGGGACGGGACTTATTTGACACCCGGTATTACTAAAAACAGTGTGACATATTACATAAACAATGGACGCGTCAATCAGACCGTTGTTCCCTCTTCAAAAGAGTAGACGCAAAAAAATTTTCCTTATAAGGTCAAAATATTTCCCATGATGCAGTTCGCGAAAGAACAAATTTATACTTCCTTGTTTTCCCCCATAGGTTTAACATCGGGATTTTCGCACCTATTTTTCAAACTCTGTATCTGTTCATATTCCCGTACGAGAGCACAGAAAAAATATCAGAAACGCAGACCCGTAGCCAGGGGGGGGGGGGTTCGATGGGTTCGAGCGAACTCCCCCCCCCCCTTGCCATAATATCTTTCAAAATCATGCAGTTTTTCACCATTCTGAGCACTTTTTAAGTGATGACCAAAATTGTCACAAGTGAACCCTCCTGGAATTTTTCAAATGGCTGAAATTTTTAATCATCAAATATTCCACTTTACGGCTCAAACACATATTTTAACACAATTTTAATGATTGAACTATTTCAATAATAAAATGTTTATCTAATAGGCTACTTTAATAAATATTTTGCAACCTTAGTGACCTCATCGTGATATTACTCAGGTGACAAAATATTTTCGAAAAAACTATTTTTTCTATGTCAATCTTTTCTAAATAAAAAGGGTTGAAACGAACTATACTACGTTTTAAATACATGTATTACTGTACCATTGGCTTCTATGAGAACTAACATTTTGAAATGCATTTTCTCCGAATCACCTTTATGCATGGATGAGTTCATTTTCTCGCTCATTTTTCGATTTTCTTAATTTCTTTTTAAAAAGTACACGAGGATGTATGCATGCGTGCATTGGTTTGAAGTTTCCTTTTTAAAAGACACGTATGACCTCTAAAATCTAGTTTTAAATAAATTCATGATTTTTTATGTTGTCCACCAGGTTTTCTATGAATGTGTCCACAATATCTTTATAAATTCAGGGAAAGGAGATTTCCCTGATTGGGGGATTTCCATAACTATGACATGTGACCTACGCATAGTTAACCGAGCAAGTCAAAACAATATATTATAATTTTGCGATGGGTGTCACTTCTATAGACAGGAAGTATTGTACGTATATAATATTATGACCCCAGTGATTATGTATATGATCTATTTACAACTCTTTCTTTTTTGTCAGTTTTATTGAAATACTTCTAATATAAAAATTTCTCGTGTACTGTGACTGATGTCAAAAAACTAAAAAGATCAAAACAAGGTTGGTGGGAAAATTATTTGTTTTCCGTCAATTACGGATTGTGCCGAATGTCTCCGATCTGCACATTCTCCAAATCGTTAATTCCAAACAAATGTGTGTGTTATTGGATGTGTCCAATTACAAATGGAATCTGAGATCAGTATTAAAGGCAGAATCAGATCTATGGGGGTGACAAAATTACAAGCAACATGTACATATTGACCTATCAATCTATTCCTTACAATCTCAAATACAATACCTCCCAAAAGATTCATGGTATAGTATTAATTGGTGAAGTTATGATGGATTCAAAGTGCAAAAATGGATGAAAAATGTTTAATATATTCTTCCAAATAATAAGAGTGGTAACCATCTTTAGTTTTCCTGAAATAAAGTGTAAATGAAAAGGAATGACATAAGCAAGAAATATTCTAGAATTGAAACAATTTTTTTGTTTGGCTGCTCACTAGATTTGATTCTCTCTTTAAGAAGCATCTCCACAAATCTACAAATTGTTGTGCTACGCTGGGGTTTTCGAGCAGAAATGAGACAAGGTGTGAATCATGAGCCAGACGACAAACGAGTTGTTGTGTGTTTAAAATGCAACTACTGATTTGGCACGCATCTCGTTCAGTGTTACCTACCCTCTTGCACATATAGATATAGATAGTGTGCTATAACGCCGTTGTACTAAATGTTGCACAGCCAAACCAACGTACGAGAATATTTTCTGACTCTTCATCTATACTTAGTAAGTAGACTGAATTATACAAGCATTTGAACGTTCTCAGAGACGAACCTTCTGTGTGTTAAGGCTCATGCTTTGAAAAGTATAGGCAATGTTGTATATTGACAAGATGACCCCATGTTGTTGACAAGACAACAACCCCCGGGGGTTAACTGTACACAAAATTCAGAGGGGTTCTAGCCTGAACCCTCAAATATCGATATGTTCCCATACCAATCTGTCGAATTTCAGCTATGTTCCCATACCAACCAAAATAACGCCCAAAAGCCCAAATGACCAACTATTAGACCAATGCCATACCAAATGTCCAAATATAGGGCCAATAAAACCAAGGGCATTCAAAATGTCTAAAGCCCCGGGAAGAAGGCAGATTTACAAGAAAGTGGAAAAATCCGACCATTGCCATACCTCAAATAATCTGGACACAATGGTGGATATTCTAATAGCAGATCCTAAAACCTGGGTCCATTGCCATACCGAATGTCAAAAAGGTATCTCACTTGAGCCGAGGATCCCCGTCAAGATCTACACATACAGTGAACCCCGGGGCAACAATCCCATTTATACATTAGCATCATAGTACATGCCTAATGATTATTCAAGCATTTTGGCAAAATGTTAAACCGTCACACAGCTTTGACTTTCTACATACTCTATTAGCCACTGTGTGACCCCTTATTTAACTTGGCAGCTATTCAAATGTATTTGCTAAAAACTTACTCTGGTCTGCTGTCTTAAATCTGGCCTTAGACCAGGTACCGTTATTTTGAAGTGTGAAATGTCGAAAAATACAAGGATTTGGATGTACATTTTGTCTGGATTCGTTGCGTTTTCATTGCTTAGCAACTATTCATTATTTGTCATAGTTAGAAATGGAACTTTGATTCACAGAGGAAAAGACACAGAGACTGTTCAAAGTGAAAACACCATAGTCGTAATGGAAATTAATAACACATCTCCTGAGAGTGAAGATACTAGTACTGTGAAGGATATTGTATATGGTGATGCTGAATCAAAAAACGGACAGAAAAACACTACATTATTGCACAATGCTCTACTTATGTATGTAGACCAACAGGATCGGCATATAATACAATTTACACTGTTTCTGTATGCATCCTGGAAATACGTTATGAGTCATCGATACCTTAAATCCAACGTTACAATCGACAATGCTACATCTGTACCAAATATCATATTTGACTTGATTGTGTATTGTCACCCAAAAACATGTAAACGTCTCCCATTAGATTGCATCCCCCTCAAACATGACGCCATTTTGGAAGCTATTCCTAGATGTTGGTACACTCCCTCCGAACCACTCCAAAATTTCCCAGGCTATCCATCTGGTTATGAGTTCATTAATACATTTACGTTTCTACTTGATGATACCTTGGATCAGATTGCACACAAATATGATAGAATTTTGAGGACCGATACAGATGTGTTTATATCTCCGGCAATATTAGGTTGGTCTGTTGAATATCCTTTAGTTACTGGACAGGGGGGTTATGGATCAAAATTTAGTGAAAATAGATTACAGGGAATAGCAACAAAACTTGGTTTGCGTTATCAGCACATCAATAATATTGGAAGTAGCTGGTATGCCGAGCCAGGTATATTCCTGAAAACTGTTAAGCTTGCATTGGACCTTTCAGTTCATGTATACAACCATGAATTCAACAAATCTCTACCAGGGCTTGAAGGTATATTTCACCAAAGTGTCGAAGGAAAATGGCCAGAATGGTGGCGTGGGGTCTCAACAATGTATGGCAGTGAACTAGCCATCAATCATCTCATCCCCAATCTCACTCAAGACCACATAGCTTTTCGATGTATGGACACAGACAGTGCGGATGGTATAACACCAGTAATGAAATCCCCTCACATTCACTGCTGGAACAGAGGCGATTTCAACAAGTTTGAATTTACTGATAAACTTACTGGATTCATTAAGACAGATGTTAGAAAATTATGGACGCAGAATGAGACAACGTTATACCTTGGGGATTTGGATGTATCTGGGATGACCATTAGGCAGTATGTGACTTATATAGCATGGAATGGAGTCCTCAAATACGTACCATATATGTTTGAAAAAATGATGGCACATTAATTAATTCAAAAGCCTTATTAAACATTTGCCTTATTATTATTATGCCTTATATGCCTTATATTGCCTCATATTGCCTTATATGCCTCATATGCCTTATATTGCATTAAGCCTTATTAAACACAGAGAATTTGAAAATGAAATCGAGTTAGAACTTAATACATTAAAAACGAAAAACATCCTTATAGAACAACTAGATAGAGAAATATGTGGAGATGAAATATCCAAAACTTTGAGAGACTTGAAAAGCAAAAAATCAGGGGCAAATGATACAATCTCAAATGAAATGCTCAAATATAGTGGCAGTACTCTGATTAAACCCATGTCTAAGCTTTTCAATCTCATTCTAAAATCAACATATTATCCTCTTATATGGTCATCTGGCAATATAGTTCCTCTTTACAAGAAGGGTGATGAGAGCGATCCTCAAAACTATAGAGGGATTACTTTAACAAGCCTATTGGGTAAAGTTTTTATTTCAATTCTACATTCAAGATTAGCACAATTGCTATCGGAGAATAAGATTTTATGCAAAAGTCAAATAGGATTTTGTAAAGAGCGGCGAACAACTGATCACATATTTGTTCTTAATTGTATTATTAGTCCATGAGAGCAATAAAAAAGCCGTTATTTGCATGTTTTGTTGATCTTAAACGTGCATTTGACACAGTATGGCGACAAGGATTATTCTATAAACTTCATAAAATAGGCTTAAGTAGTCGCTTGATTAGTGTTATCGACCATATGTATGTGAATACTGAATGCAGAGTCAAGCTAAAAGGTGGTTTTACAGAACACTTTCCCAGTAATGTAGGGACTAGACAAGGCTGTAACTTGAGTCCGATGTTATTTAATATATATCTTAATGATGTTCCATCTCTGTTTAACGATGTAAATTTTGATCCTTATATTCTAGACGGAAACAAAATCAACACATTGATGTATGCCGATGATATAGTATTGTTTAGTAAGACAGCGAAAGGATTACAGCTGATGCTGAACAAATTTGAAAAATATTGTAATACATGGAAATTAAATGTTAACATTAACAAAACCAAAGTGGTGATATTTAATGAAACTAAAAAGAAAAATATCTTTAAATTTGGTAATAGCATAGTTACACAGTGTGCAAACTATTGTTATTTGGGTGTAACATTTCATCAAAACGGTAATTTTAAATCTGCATACAATGTTTTGTACTCAAAAGCACTAAAGGCTCAATATGCAGTCAAAAATGCTTTTTATAATAGTAATGTGAAATCTCAGATAAAATTATTTGACACTTTAGTTAAACCGATTGCACTATATGCTTCTGATGTTTTGGCTACAGATATTGTAAAGTTAAAAGACAAATCCTTGAAGGACGTACTTTTAAATAATTTATTTCCGTTTGAGAAGTTACACAATAGATATTGCAAACAGGTATTACGCGTCAATAATAACTGCAGTTACGTATCAGCTAAGGCTGAATTGGGCAGATACCCGCTGCTCATTAATATATTAGTTAGTACTCTAAAATTTTGGTTTCACTTGAAAAAGTCACCAACTGATTCATATTTATTTATTTTTAGTAAACATGAGGAAGACTCACATGAATCAGGGCATTGGAGCTTCTTTTCATTTATCACTCGGATTTTGTCAATATCCAATAAAAATATTGATATACAAAAATTCGATACATGTGATCAAGTCAAAATTGATAATTTAATTAAATCTACAATGACAAATTTAGAAAAAGAATACAAAAGCGCGTTTATGCAAGACATCAATAGACCAAATGATGCTCCAGGTAAATTCAGAAGCTATAAACTAGTAAAACATGCATATAAAAGAGAAAGTTATCTTAATTTACAGAACTCCACCTATAGACAATCTATTTCTAAGGTACGGTTATCGATGCATAACTTCCCAATTGAACGAGGTCGATACTTCAAAGTAGAAAAATCGAAACGATTTTGTTTCTTTTGTAATTCAAAAAATACAATAGGTGATGAAGAACACGTTCTTTTTTGTTGTTCTCAATCAGAACTAAAACTAGCTCGATCTCAATATCTCAGTAATATAAAAAGTATAAACAATAGTTTTTCTCATTTTAATACAAGTAGTCTATTTTTATACTCCCTGTTAGCGCACGATGATGCAATTAATGAAATAATTGGTGATTATTTTACAAGAGTTCACAATATTACCAAAGAGTTGTTAAACAAAACTGATGTGAAATTATTTTATGCTGTTTAGTAAAGTACTTAGAGATTGTTAAAATTAGATTGTAAGAATTGTTTTGCCATGCATGTACATGAATGTTTTATTTGTTATTTGCTTTATTGGACTTATCTCAATGTACATTACATGTTCAAGATCGAGACCAATAAACTTATTAATAATATTAAACGCCTTGAACAGTGGAATTCTGTTGCTCGATCAACAGAATGGCAAATCCCAACAAACAATATATCGTTTCTCAAACATTAAAAATATATTTAGCGCTAACCTCATTGTTGGAGTACGTGCTAAATGTATTTTCTTACGTTTGAACTTGTGAATTAGTTCGAAAATGCTTTAATGAATGTTCAGTGCGAACGAGGTCGTAAAGGATCCGTTACCTCATGTACCTAAAGGTGCCCCCAAAGGTTTCATTGAATATAACATGGAAATAGTTACTTTTATAAATTATGAACACATCCAAAACAAAATTAGGTCATGGGGATTAAAACTAAGGTCATTCAGTGCATTTAAGTTTGACTATGCAAATCATCCTAAATATCATAAGTATATTGACCATTCAATCAATTGATATATCAAAATATTATTAAGGCAGGACACAAAGGGCAACATATTGAAAACAAAATCATAAAACAACCCCTAAAATCTAATACATCTTGGAATCTCAATCTTGAATCTCAGCAAAAGTATCACTTCAGTTGGTATGCAGTAATGCAGTTTAACCTAGGATATTCAATTTAGAGGACATATTACACATCATTATCAAAGGTAGGACACAAAAGGCAACATATTGAAAACACAAAACCCAGGTATTCAACTCAAATATTAAAAATCTAGTTGTGACTTTCCAATATATGATATATTTATTTGGCATGTTCAAAGAATAATTCGATTGAAGCTAAAGGTATAAAGTCAAATGGTTGCTTTTTAAAATTGAAAAGGTGCATGTAGGAGAGTTTGAAACCCATTGTTTTGCTATCAAACAAGTGGAGGTATTTTAATCTATCCATTGTATAACATATAATTATTATGAAGTAAAATATTTTAGTTTGACTTAGGATGAAAACTATCTTACAAGCAGTGTCCCTTTAATGGCTAAATGGATATTGATTCCGTCTTTCAGCAATATATCATTTTTTGTGACAAGCTTCAAAAATAAATTGACCCTTTTGTTTCTTTTGGTGAGAACTACCTTGCAAGCAGTGTCCCTTTAAATAGCTACATGGATATTGATTTTGTCCCTCAGCAATATATCATCTTCAGGGGTAGGCAATTGAATGAAGAATCAAAAATAGATTGACCCATTAGTTGAGAACTACCTTACAAGCAGTGTCTCTTTAAATGGGTAAATGGATATTGATTCAGTCCCAATATATTACATTCAGGGGCAGGGATGACTGATGAATCAAAAGTATATTGACCCTTTGATTCTTTGATAAAAATAGTTTAGTGTTCATTAGGATGAGCACTATCTTACAAGCAATGTCCCTCTAAATGGCTTGATGGATAATGACTCGGTCCCTCTGCAATATATCATCTTCAGGGGCATGCATGAATGATCAATCAGATTGGCCTATTTGTTTCTATGGGTGAGAACTACCTTACAAGGAATGTCCCTTTAATGGCTAAATGGATATTAATTCAGTGTCTCTTCAACATATCATCTCAAGAGATAGACATGACTGATGAATCAAAAGAAGATTGACCAATTTGATTCTTTGTTTAAAACATTTTAGTGTTCATTAGCCTGAGAACTACCTGTACCTTACAAACGGTGTCCCTTTAATGACTAAATGGATATCAACTCAGTCCCTCTGCAACGTATCTCCTTCAGATGCATGCATGACTGATAAATCAAAAATAAATTGACCCATTTGATACTTGTCTGATAGTTTGTTGCCTTGGTGTCAGCCAGATCCAATATGGCCTACTTTTTGAAACTAATTTTTTTTGCTATACTTTCACATTGTATATCTTCCGCAGCCAGGACCCTCTCTTATTTCATGTTTGAACTATGCAATAATGTCAATACTAAACAATAAAGGTGAAATCAGAGGGGGTCTGACCTGCGGAAGCACCTCAATCTGTCAGTGACTGTAGAAGGTCATCTATTCTTAAAAACAAGAACACAATAGGGTGCCTTTCAAAACAATAGGATTACAAAGTATCTATGCATGGTTGATCTGCTTAGTGAAGGTTATTATGCTCAGACACAATGTAGTTTTATACTGACAAGTCAATTTAAGTGTATCTTCAAAAATCAAGATTTTATTCAAGGTTTTGTTAAAATATGTGAAAATTACTCATTTTAAAGTGTGCGCCTGACCCGGCTACGTATAGCACAGAGTTTATACTGGCGGATTAGACTAGTTCATTTTTTATATGTGTGTGAAAGCTTTCTCTTATTTGCGTTTTTTCGTTTAGTACGGTTTTGTTATAATTGCCGAGGCCATATAACCGGGATAAAACAATGATCATCGTTGACTGCCCACACACAAAACATACGTTGAGTGAACAGTGTTATTACAAACAACAGGCTTTAGAATACAAAGCCCAGTAGTGTGATAATAAGCTGCACACTACCACTGCTGCATGTACATATTACTAATTTACCAGGGCTCCCAAAGAGTGGATAGGGAGGTTGTGTTTGTCACTTTTAAATTTTACATTTCAAAATTGTCATTTTACATGTCATAATTATTTGTTGGTTTCATTCGTTTAGCCAATCAAAACATTGTAAAACAATAAATTGTCTGTTACGTACAATCAATTTTGTTCAG